AATAGTTGCTTGAATGAATGACTGAATGGATGAGTGGATGATGGGGCACGGTTTTGATATGATAAAAAGTTGCAGAGAATAGATGAATGAAGGGTGCGGTAGAGACAGACAATGGTTGTGGTTGAAGGAAGTATGTAATCTATGTGTGGTTAAAGGCTTTTAAGTGATGTAGGATTGAGATAGAGTATTGGGATTATTGTAAGACTTTAGCAAATTAGTTAGAGAGTGTTTCAAGTTGATTTGGACTTTTTCATTCAAATGGAGATAGGATGGGATAATGTGCACAACGACTGCTAATGTTTTTATTAGTGTTTCACTCTAACTAGAACTCCACCTCTTTGTGATATTCATCATTGAATTACACTTCTACCCTTTAAAATTAGCACTTGTGCTGCCCCAAAACTTCTAGCCCTCAATATTTCCATGCATGATATCCAAAGCAACTCCAAATCTACTCTTATTAGCTCAATTTAACTATATTGTCAACTTTGCCAACAAACCTACAATAAAATGAAAATAACATAAAACACTACAACAAATGAAAAATAACTAAGTAAATATAAAGATATAAGATAACACAGTGATAGGAGGTCCAAATGGCAAAAGTGACAAGAAAAGGCAATTTGGAGCATTTTTGAGTAGTTTTGGACTTGGAATGGATATCATGCGTATGGAGCATAACGGATGGACGTTTTTGAAGATCAAAAGAGGTTAGGAATGTGCTACAAATCTGGAGAAATTAAATCAACACTTGGAAGATAAGGAACCAGCTAAAAAGAAGGAACATTATCTTAACCAACCTTATCTTATCCAACATTATCTTATCCAAAACCTTATCTTATCTTATCCTAACCTTATCCTAATCCTATTCTACCTAGATTCTAGCTGCAAGGGGGATCCTTATCATATTAAACCACCTATTATCTGATTTCTAGGAGTCCCAAAACAATGCTAAGAACTAATCCTTTTCCTCCATAAACAATGTCGTGTATTTGCCCTATAAGTACACTTGTGTCGCGCCATTCAGAGCAACACATAGATAAGAGCCTAAAATCAGAAAACCCCAATTGTGCCGCAGCTTTGCAAGGAAGGAATGAGAAGAAGAAGCTTGGAGCCGTGCTTGCCATTCAAGACCTTTGGATTGTTGGAGCATTTCTAGGTGTATTCTATCTTTGTTTTCAATGTTTAATTTTAATTGTCTTTGTTTAATTGCAAACATGTGGAACTAATTTCATTTTAGCTAAAGGTGAATTCAAAGCCATGAACATATGTGTGATATGAATTGATTATATCTAGTTATTGTTTCATAAATCGTGAATGCAATTTACTTATCAGTTTGATTGATAACATATTCTTGTGTGTTGATTGAGGATGCATACTTAGTTTGCATGCAGGGATTTGATGCTAAAATATAAGGGAATTTCACCTAATCGTTATGAACTTATATTTACAAGTAATGGAGGTTCACGATCATGTTAAGTAAATTCCAGGCAGGAGTATCATGCAGTTCATAGTTACAATGCCATGTCAATGCTTATGATTTTCACAGAACTTAATGATCTTTGATACGTATCTCTATTATGCAGCTCATGTAGGGAACTTGATAAGAATAATTTGGTTGCGTCGCTGAGTCCAATTCAATGAATTTAGAAAAATATGATGGTTAATTTGTGCAGTTTACGGTTAACTTGGGGCATTGTCATTCATGATTTATAGGAAGAATAATTGGAAATTGATTTGTATGCATATGTGTCATGTGTGGAGAATGACCCTCTAGCTAGCCTTTCACCCCTTCATTCACCCCAATTTTGTATCATTTAGTTTGTCTTTGCAAGTTTGCTTGTTTAAATCTTAAATTCGTCAAAACAACCCCCCGTTAGTATTTTGAGCCAAGTTAAGTTTAGAATTCGTCCAAATCACCCTTTAGTTCCTGTTTTGAGTCAATTTGTTTGTTTTGTGCTGTTTTGAGTCATTCTGGTCAGTTTTAAGTCACTAGAGTCTAGTTTTGTGTTTTTGAGTTAAATTTGTGTAGATTAGCATCCCTCCTAATCCTCAGTTTAGAACGATCTCTACTTACACATACTACAACTATCAAAAAGAGGGTTTAAGTTTGTGTGCTATTTTATATCACATCAAATTTTTGGCGCCGTTGCCGGGGATATTAATGCTTATTTCAATTAATTGTATAGGTCAAAAAACATTAATCCACCTTTTAATCCATATACAATTAATTGTATTGGTCAAAAATGTAATCAAGGGTATATTAGGCATTCAACAAATGTGTCATGGTGAAGTCAAACATAGTAATGAATTTTCTTGTGTGGAGTCTAGTCATTGGATTTTAATCAAGTAAAAAAATTAACAAAAATTGAATTAAGAGACTAAAGTCATATTGTCACAGCCCGTCTCAGATATAATTTTCGACGATGTGGAATAACGGAATTACCCTTGTTCATTGAGAATTATTATGGAGTTGTGGGTTATACTTAAGAGTGTGGACCAATTAGCTATATTCCTCCATTTTTGGAACCAATTAGAACTAAGTGTCCTCTTAGTTATGATTGGTGGCTTTTGAACCACACATACCCACCTACATTCTCTCTCCTTCCCGTGCTCTCTCTCTCATCTCTCAGAGTCTCTCTTCCCTCTTTCGTACAGACAAGCTTTGAACTTTCCCTTTCAGGCACAGATCGAAGCTTTAAAGGTAAGGTTCTTGCTCATTGTAACCTCCTGAGTACATTGATACCCTCGTTTGGACGTGAATGCTTCGAAAACTCGAGAAACCCTAACCCCGATTTTGTGCACTGTTCGAGAACATAGGAAGCCTTGTGTTTCAGGGAATTCTAAGAACATAGGAAGCTTAAGGAGGTCCTCACGAATCTAGGGGTACGTCATTGGAAGGATTTGGATGTCGGAGGACTGAGATCGACGTGTTTCTAGGTAAGCTGAGCTATCAACCTTTCTCAGGAAAAATCTAGTAGAATTTAAGCCTTGAAATTGTATAACGTGATTCTAGATGTTATTAGCTTCATTTTGGTACCAATTTCATGAAAAATGGTGAAGAATCGAAGGAGATTAGTGATTTTAAAGTTTTACCAAGAAACCGGCCAAGTCGCCGGCGACCGGTGACTCACCGGAGAAGAAATGGGAATATTCCGTCAGTTTTGACGGAATATGCTGACGCCGTCAGTTAGTTTGGACGGTTACCGTTGGACTTAACGGAATATTCCGGGGAATATTCCTAATGGCAGTTAGGAAATTCGTCAGGATTCCCTGCACGTGGCCACGCGTTTTTCCGTGCGCTCGCCGGCGCGTGAGGGGTCCAAAAATTAATCTAAAAATATGGGGATGATCCTGAGGTTGTGTAGGTCACTATGGTATATTCATATACCCATTTTGAGCAATGTATGAGAAGTTATTAGCTAGTTTTGTCTATGTGCTTTAAAATAACGTTTTTATAGTTAATTCGCATATAGGTGAGACTTATTCTGAGGACGAGTGTATCCACGGGCAACTCAGGGGTTACGACCCGTCGACATACTAGTGAGTGGGCTTTTGTTTTCAATATATATTTATATACTTGATATATTTCCCAGAAATGCATTTTTAAGGAAAGTATGCTTTGAAATAATATGTCAAATGCTTTTATATTCTGAATACGCTTTTCATGGTTACATATATATATATATAAATGTGGTACTGTGGAGACATAGGTAAGTTCAAGTAAGTTATGTTTGGCTATGTGAATCATCGATGACGTGGTATGTGATGGATTGATGTTGAGCTCATAAAACTGCACCTAGGGTGATTGTGATTTAGCCAAAGATATGAAGTACATGCCTGTTTATTTATGTCACCTCCCGCACTATATGCTCATATTGGATCCAACTTAAGTGTACAGTCTTGTTGTACAGACCTTAATTATGGTTTCGACTCGTAGGTGACTAGCGATTTATCACCCGGCTATTATGAGAGAGTAAAATTGAGTATAACTATATTACACCCAATCTTGTCATACAGACCTTTTTAGTGGTTCTGACTTATGTGCAGTCTATTGTCGTATAGGTCATTGTAGTGACTCTAGCTAGATTGATTTAGAGCTATGAATTCAGTCGTACATACTACCATAAGGGTTCTGGCTAACATATCATATTTCTATAAATTTATTCTTACCTGAATTGTTTACTCTGTTATATATTGGCATGACATATATTTGAATATGTGAAGCATTAATTGAATTGATATGATTTCATATATATATATATATATATATATATTATGTATATGCTTATATTTTGATTCTAGGAAAAATTATACATGTTTTACAGCGAGGGGTTAGATATATTGATAAAGAAAATGATTTTGTAAAACATTTGTTTTTACCCACTCACGTTTTCTGTTTTGCGCTCCTCCAGGTTTTAAGTAAGTTTGCTATTGGTGGCTTGAGGACATCGGTGGTTCTGACCTATCTAAATAATAGTAGGACATTCCTGGTATTGTATAATTAGTACTTATCCTCTTGGACTGCACCTAGGCTTAGTATGATCTGCTTAGGAGTGTTTACTGTTTTAATTAACTCCTATCACTTCCTGTTTAGTAGTGCACTATAGTAATTCAGTTTTTAATTATTCGTATCATTCTTATCTTTATTATTTCCGTACTGTGCACATGGCTACATCACTCTCACGTGACGGCCAACATACCTTGATCTCGGTCGGGGTGTGTCACATATTTTCAGAAAATAAAACTCTTTCCCTTCTCTCCATACTCCCACGTTCTCTCACTCTCTTCATCTCTCCTTCCACTTTAAAAACAAAAGTAAAAAAATTTCACATACATTTTGTGTGCACGCATATGCTAGTATTACTATAAATAACTTACGAGGATAAAATGTAATTTTACACAAGTTATAAAAATAACAAATAAAAAATGAAAGAAAATACAATAATTAAAAAAAAAATAGTGGTGCAATTTTCTAGCAAATTATAAGATGCCCTTCCCCTTCAACGATGGTGAGAGAAGCATTGGAATTGAATGGATATATGCTGCCGATTCGGATTGCTTAATTCTGCACTCCATCTTCCCCCTCTATCGATTCTCAGCAGGCCTCCTTATCTATTTCCATCCTTCCCAACTTGCCCTCCTAAACTCGCTAAATTTTCGCATCTGCCACTCCTCCGCCGGAACCCCATTATTTATACCAGAACCACACTCCTGTGTACCTCTTCCCAATCTTCTTCTTCAACGGCAATGGAAGCGCCTCCCCAAGGTTATAGAAGGAACGTCGGCATCTGCCTCATCAATGATTCGAAAAAGGTCTCCCTCCATCTCCTTTTTACTTTTTTGTTGTATGTTTTTGTCAATGAACTGAACTTGTCTATGTATGTTTGTTATCTCCACAGATTTTTGCTGCTTCGAGGTTGGATATTCCCAGTGCGTGGCAAATGCCGCAGGTAAATTTGATCACAGTTTTGGATTGAATGTTTAGGGTTTTGGTGATTTAATTGGTTTTAACTTTTAGTTCTATTTGTAAGTTGTAACTGTTTTGATTTATGGGAAAAATATGCAATATATGTGGGAGTTCGATTCATATGCATACATGATAGTACATACATTTTGTTGAATTCGTTATCTTTTCATGTTTGATTCTTAATTGGTTTTACTTCTATAGATTTGTATAAATTTTTCCGAGTTCCATCAATTGCGCGCACTCAATCATAGACACTGCACATACACATGTAATTTAAGCTTCTTTTGAGCATTTACTTAGAACTTGGAATTTGATCTGTTAGATTTTGTGTACTCCTTTCTGTATATTTGCTGGAAAGGAGGAACTTTTGAATGACTATTACAAGAAGATTACCAATGAACCACTCATGCACTACAAAGCTACTATTATAACACTACAAATGCACAACAAAGACACTAAACAAAGGACCTGTGTCACTGAAAATTCTCTCGAATCTATTGCATCTAGTCATCCTCAAGTCCCTTTTTTATCTAATGTTCTAATCTATGTAGTTCATTCCTAACAAATTTAGCTTAAAATCTAATGTTACTTTGAACTCCCTCATCCAAACTCAAGGTTAGAGATAAAGTATCCAAAAGGGCAGAGTGGTGGTATCTCCTGATATTTTAATGCAGTGATTGGTGGCCATATAGGTCTAAATAAACATTGTTGAGTTTTGGAAACTGTATTGCATATACAAAGTTACTAGTGCAAATATGCAGTTCTATGGGCCTGCTTGAGGCATGAATGAATCAATTTTACAACTATTACAAACTAGAACATAGGGTGATTAGTGTTCAAGTACAGCTACTAGCTGTAGTCGTTACATGCTTTTAGTATCTTAGACAACTTTGCTTCCTTTAGTGTGAGATTTCTTTATTTTCAATTTACTGAAATACTTTTTTTTTTTCTTTAAATTGTTTTGGAAAGGGCGGTATTGATGAGGCTGAAGATCCAAGAAGTGCAGCCGTCAGGGAATTGAGAGAGGAGACAGGAGTTAAATCAGCAGAAATTCTTGCACAGGTACAAAACATGCTACGCTAGTATTCCCCTCTTGTTTCATTGTTTTAGGGCATTTTTAAAATGCTTGATAAATTTGTGCATGCATTTGGCCGAAGAAAGTGTTTGAGAATGCAAAAGGATAAACCGATAAAGCTGTTTGTCTTTGTTGAATTCTGTTAGTTGTTTTCCTTGGTTATCATTTGTCAGGCATCGAATAATCTTCAATTATCTAGCCAAAAACCACATTTGACACTCTTTATTTATGCTTGGCCTAGATCTTAATCAACAAATAACAAAGAGAATGGTTGTGTCAAGTTGGCATTTAGTGGTTCTTTCCTTTCTCTCATCGCATGTTTTATGCTTTTGGTTACTTGATTAACAGGGAATCATTTAAGTAACAGAAAAGAAGGCAATCAGTTCTTTTTATATTATCTGTTATATTTGAACATTCTAGAGCTGTCTATTATCCGTGCTTTTTCTGTATCCTTCTGCTTTTGCATTTTTCAAAAGAAGTCGAGACATTATTTTTCTCACTTGCAATCTACCTTTTTGATTATTGGATTTTTTTTCCAGGCACCTTATTGGTTAACTTATGATTTCCCACCAGAAGTTAGGGAAAAACTCCGGCATCAGTGGGGATCAGATTGGAAGGGCCAAGCACAGAAATGGTTAGTGTCAGTATAACAGTGCCTTGCATGTTGTGTAGTCTGCAACCTGTTTCATCCATCATCTGAGCTCATTCCAGATTATAACCTAGAGGCATCCCATCACCTTCGTTTAAATATCATTACAAGTTTAATCGTTTAAACATGCTATCAATATACCTGAGAATTCATTTATGCATCGATTGGTTCTCAAAATTAGTGCTTAAACCATATCAACAATTTTGCTTCTGCTTCTGCTTTTGCTTTGTCTTTTCTTAGGTAAAAGAAGTTTATTTGAATTTTTTAGTGTTTTTGGAATGCCGTGCTCACGTCCACATTGTATTATTTATAGAATTACATGCACGTGGAATTTCACAGGTTTCTTCTTAAGTTCACCGGGAAGGATGACGAAATCAATCTTTTAGGTGATGGAAGTGAAAAACCTGAGTTTGGGGAGTGGTCATGGATGTCACCTGAACAAGTAGTTGATCACGTAAGTTAACCGTCCCATATACATTTGTTCAAATAGCTAAAGTTAGTCATATTATTTAACATGTATTCTTTCTTCTTTCTCCAGGCTGTGGACTTTAAGAAGCCTGTTTACAAGGAAGTTCTTGCATCTTTTGCACCCTATCTTCAATAGCCTTTGGTGAGTGCCGTCAACAAGGCTTATTCCCATTCTTCTTCAACTACAGGAACCCATATATCATATCATTTTTACTTGCTAGGATGAATGTTTCAATGGCTGTAGGCAGAAAAGTGACTAGCTCTCCTGATAGAATGATTTGAGTAATGATTTTCTCAAGTGTCTATCGTTGATCATCCATATTAGTGAGTTTCCGTTCGGCATCCCATGTAATAAGTTATATTTTGAAATTTTAATTTTAATTTTAGTCTTGAAACCAGGATTTGTAGAATGCATTATTGAAAGTTTTCTGTGACTTGGCCACCCAGTCCTTTTCATCGGATGCTCATTGTGTTCAATTTTCGGGAAATGTTTAGTCCAGCGTTGCCTTCCTCATAATCAACTTCCCTACAGAGGCAAGATCCAACGGCTCATATGCAGTGGCGGATCCAGGAAATAATGTTTGTGGGGTCATAGCGCGCGCAGCGCGAAATTTTTTTTTAGCCTCGTTTGGTACTTCGGACTGTACTGACTATTTCAGTCGGATAGGATAAATAGTCGTCGGATAGTACTAACTACATTAGTCGGGCGTTTGGTGCAGTGTCGAATTAATCTGTGCATGGAACAATACTAAATTTTTTTAATAATTTTTAACAAAATAATTGGTGTTAAAATGAAAAAAAACTCACAAATATAAACAAATCATCAATATAATCAAATAAATATGAATTGAATTTCAATTAAATTAAATATATTATACATATACAAAATATTCAAAATAAATACTCACACAATATAAACAAACCATCAACATAATCAAAATAAATATGAATTGGATTTCAATTAAATTAAATATCTCATCTTGCATTCTACATATAAAAAATAATGAAAATAAAAACTCACAATATAAACAAATCATCAATATAATCAAAATAAATATGAATTGAATTTCAATTAAATTAATATATTCTACATATATAAATATTCAAAAATAAATACTCACAATATAAACAAACCACCAACATAATCAAATAAAATATGAATTAGGGTTGGAGGAGGAGGAGAAAACAAAAGAAATTTGGGGGTTTTAGAAAGAAGGGATTCGGATCTGTGCAAAATAGGGCTGATAGGACACATTGGGTTTTTTTTTTTGTTCAGACCTGCCCAGGACACGCTGGGCATTTGTTTTTTGTTCAGACCTGGGCCAAAACGACGCCGTTTTGCCCGTATGTTTTGAAAAAAAAGAAGCGCGCAGCTTCTTCTTCCTCTTCCTGCAGTGCCGAGCTTCGTTCAGGATTTTTGTCAAACACTTGGCGTGCGACTGGGTACGACTTGTGCACTGGGTACGACTTGGCGTGCGACTCCGACCCCGACGACCCCGACGACCCCAGCTCCAAGAGGTCGCGTATGGGAGCTTCAAGGTTGTTTCCATGGTTTCCAAGGGGTCGTGCGACCCCGACGACCCCACTGTGGATCCGCCCCTGCTCATATGTGAGCAGATCAAAGAACTCGACATCAATAGGATGCACAATTTTCACCACCTTAGCAGGATCAACCCCACTTTGTACAAAACGACACACGAGACTCAGTAGGAACCCAAACATTCTATCCGATTACAGCACTTCACATTCTCCGAGTTCACTCCATTGGTTTCAAACATGATCCGCCCGATGACGGACTTGAACTTTTGGTAAGCAGCTGGTGGGCAAGGCAGTGTTTTGAACAATAGTGGGTTCCATGTGCCGGGCTCATTGCTTCGTACTACGTTGTGTGTTGTAAAGCTCAACTACCAAGTTCCTGATAGGCTGATACCCCTCCCAGAATTCCAACGATTCCTGATCACCATGTCGCTCGATAACCATTCGAAAGCTGGGGTTTTTCAGGGTTCGATTGGGTTGTTAGTTTTCGTGTGAATCCATGGTAGCGAGGGAAAATAGTGGAAGCCTTGTCAACACACCCACTTATTTTATGAAGCTTAAAAAGTAAATGATATGTTTTCAAGTACCACTTGTTGGTGTTTCACATGTTACAATATCATTGAAGGAAATGATATTTTTTTTCGTGTCTTTACTTATTTTATGGCATGTGGAATACTCACTTGAATACCAAACACTTGGAAAAATTGAAGGAGCGTATTTTTATCCCCATGTCAACGGTATAGCCAAAAAATAATTGTTAACTCTGAAATGTATACGTGGGAGTTCGAACTCTGGTTGAGACTCAATTCTTGGGGTTAGGAGAGCTGTTTCACCTCCATCATAGTAGGTAAAAAGCTGGAAAATGGAAAAATTGGCGTAACACACTAATTAACCAGCAATATACTTCACCTAAAACAACCTATGGATCAAATATGGAAAAGTTTTATTAGGTAGATATAAATTTCTAAACCACTTCACTAGAAATCAGGAAGTGTTCCATGGGCAATGTTTAGTCAAATTTTCTCAGTAACCAAACACCACCAACCTTACACCACCTTTGCCAACAATACTAGATAACCTACTTTTCTCAACTTCCTCCTTTCATTTCTAAGTAGCCCCTTTTCTCATGCATTTTCAAGCTGAAAACTGAGAGCAGAAAAAACTATGGCTGCCGTTTGCTTTCATCAACCACGGCCAAGCATCAACGCCGACGACTCGGTGATACTCTTTTCGACCTCAAACTCCGCTGAAGAATCCACCAGCCCTTCCTCCTCTTCTTTCTACAACTCATCACCTCCCCCTCACCATTCCCATAACCCTACTTACAAACTCACTGTCCATAAACTTTCCTACACCTTCCACCCTAAGTCGGGTATTCTACCGGATTCTATTTGCCAATTGGTGGAGCAAAAGCCGAAGCCAGTCAGCGTACTCAACTCGGTCTCTTTTGCTGCCACAAGTTCTGAAATTCTTGCCGTTGTTGGCCCAAGTGGTACTGGAAAATCTACCCTTCTTCGAATAATATCGGGGAGGGTCAAAGACAAAGATTTTGATCCGAAATGCGTTTCAATCAACGATCGCGAAATATCTAGTCCTGCTCAGTTGCGAAAGATATGTGGATTCGTTACGCAAGAAGATAATTTGCTTCCTTTGCTCACTGTGAAGGAAACTTTGATGTTTACTGCAAAGTTTAGGCTCAAAGGTATTGATGCAAAAGAGAGGGAAGAGAGGGTGGAGAGGTTAATGCAAGAACTCGGTCTTGTGCATGTCGCTGATAGTTTCGTTGGAGACGAAGAGAACAGAGGGATATCTGGTGGAGAGAGGAAAAGGGTATCAATTGGTGTTGATATGATTCATGACCCTCCAATTTTACTCCTCGATGAACCGACTTCTGGCCTAGACAGCACCTCGGCACTTCAGGTGATTGAGATGCTGTCTTCAATGGCAAAATCGAAGCAAAGAACTGTGGTTTTGTCAATACACCAACCCAGCTATAGAATTCTCTATCACATCTCTAGCTTTTTGATCCTCTCTCTCGGTTCTGTTGTCCATAACGGTAGCATTGAGTTACTCGAAGAAAGGATAAAACAATTGGGAATGCAGATTCCGTTGCAACTAAATGCAATAGAATTTTCCATGGAAATAATACAGAAACTGGGAGATTCGTATTCGAGAACTGATCAGATATCTGAGACAGAGAACAAAGAAGCATACTCCTACTCCTCATGGCGAGAAGAAGAAATTGCTGGCGCAGATCAACCTGATAGCAGAAAAATTGGTATTGCATATTTTTTAAATTTGTATGAAATTCTGATTTTGTGCTCAAGATTTTGGAAGATCATTTACAGAACGAAGCAGCTGTTCTTGGCTCGAACAATGCAAGCTGTTGTGGGAGGATTTGGGTTGGCAAGCGTATACTTGAAACTGAGGAAGGACGAAGAAGGAGCAACAGAGCGGTTAGGTCTCTTTGCCTTCAGCCTCAGCTTTCTCCTGTCTTCTACAGTTGAGGCACTACCAATATACCTTCAAGAGCGGCGAGTTTTAATGAAGGAAGCCTCGAGAGGAGCCTACAGAATATCATCTTACATGATTGCCAATACCATTGTCTTCCTACCCTTCTTGTTTGCAGTGGCTCTTCTCTTTGCCGTTCCTGTGTATTGGCTAGTAGGACTCAATCCTTCCGTTGGGGCCTTTGCTTTTTTCACTTTTGTGGTTTGGCTCATCGTGCTGATGGCTAGTTCTCTGGTGCTCTTTCTGAGTGCAGTCTCCCCTGACTTCATATCAGGAAATTCTCTTATCTGCACGGTCCTTGGAGCCTTCTTTCTCTTCTCCGGGTACTTCATTCCGAAAGAGAGCATACCGAAATACTGGCTCTTCATGTACTATGTTTCCCTTTATAGGTATCCATTAGACACTTTGCTGACAAACGAGTACTGGAGCGTTAGAAGTGAGTGCTTCTCTTGGCATCCTCAGGATCTCAGTCATTCAAACTGTTTGTTCACTGGGAATGATGTGTTGAAGAGTAGGGGACTGGACAAGGACACCAGGTGGATCAATGTGGGCGTCATGTTCGGCTTCTTTTTACTCTACCGTGTTCTTTGTTGGATAATACTATCTCGAAGGGCTTCGAAAACAAGAATCTAAGCAGTTTAAGATGTTAGATTATTGTTAATGGTCATTCACGATGTGCTAGAATATATATATATATATATATATATACACACTTTAATTTGGCAGGCTCTTCATCCATTGCATTATTAAATTACAAGAAATTATTCATAACATTATCCCCTGTAGAAATGTGCTGAATGTGCTGAATGTGTTAATGTTTATTTGTGAAGCGTGTATTAAGAAATCGGATTAATCACAGTAAATCTGCGTGCATGCATGCCTTCTTGTTTCCGTCCGTTGTATTAATGTCTCCTGAAATATGCTTCTCTTCCGAACTGCTTGACAAGTAGGAGTAGCTAATGCTTCTATTTAAAATCAGATTCTGCTGCAAGGGCTCCCTGAAATTCCATGAAAATATGCCAGAAAGAATCCGAAGTACAAATATTAGACACAATTTTTGTTTTGTTTATTATTTATTCCAAATATCTAGATACAATTTTTTAACACTATGAATACATTCTTTTGCCATTTATTATTTCTTATTTTTACATAATTTTTATCCATTTATTCAATCAAAATGTTTGAATTTTTTTATTGTAACCGTTTCTAATAGTATTATAATGAGGAATTTTAAATTTATAGGATTATAAATCTCATAAAATATTAAAAAATTAATGTTAAAACTATAAAAATATTAATATTAATAGTAATATAATGAGGTGTACAAAGACAAGGGACCTTGATCAAACTTTGAATACTATTAAGGTTTTAATCAAAGAATGTTAAGGATTAGGGACCGCATCCAAAATATCCCTATAATTTATTTTGAGTGTTCTTATTCACACATCATTGTCTTATCTCTCCACCTACTTTTTAATGAAATTTTAATTACAGGTTTTGCTCATTTGTAAAATGACCGACAAGGGCCTTAAAAGATATATAATAATTATAAATTTGTTGCAGTCCTATCGGATCAGGAATGTGATTTTGTAAATCATAGTGTATCTAGGAGTATCTTGTATATTTTTATTAAGAGTTGATTACCTATTACGAGATGTAATCCTAAAAGGGTATGGATTCTACCTATCCTATTACTATAATAATAAAGGCATAAGGGGGTGATACAACACACACACACCTCAGAATTAAATCTATCTCTTTCTCTCTTGTTTCCACCGGCCCCCTCTCCCTCTCTGTCCTTATACAGTTCAATCAAATATGCCTACAACACGTTATCAGCATGCTCTTGCCAAAAGCTAAGGAACTGAAGGATCGTAGGAGGAGGCTATCTTCTACAAATTCAAAGGTTTTCAATCGTTTTCTGCCAATCAAGTTCTACTAAAATAAATTAATATATTTGAAAAAAAACCTTGAAAAATGAAAACATTCCACATGATGCATGGACCCCCTATATTTATATTTTCCTTCCAATTATATATATCGTATATATATTCATATATTTTGTCAATATATATAATTGTTCATGCATTACGCATTTATGCAATGTGGAACTGTGAGTCAAAGAATCGAAATTAATTTAGAAGCAATTAGGGTTTTAACCCTAGAATTCGATTAAAAAAAAACCAAAAATCTGGGATTTTTGCGCACCACCGTGTTGGCATGAAGCCTAACTGTGTGGCGACAGAATTTGGGCTGGCGTCTCCGACACCCTGGACCTTGCGCGCAACTCTCTAGGCTTAGTGCCTCTCTCGGACCCAACCAAGCTTCGACTTATGTTGCCTGATACATGGGCCTGCAACCCTGGTCTAAACCTAACCCACTCCAGCACATGCTAGGCTAGTCCTTCGTCTCGGTCCACGCCAGCAACCTAATCCACTCCAGCACATGATGGGCTAGTCCTTCGTCTCAGTCCACGCCAGCAACCTTGCTGCTGGGCTTAACTCTAGCCACGGTCTGCAACACCACAACCAACCCTGTAGGTTGGGTTTATCCCTGTGACTCAGAACCGAAACCTAGCTTCAGCTAGGATTTCCTTGAACCACCAGTACGACAGCCTTCGGGCAGGGCTTGCTCCCACGTTGGTCTTGACCGAAGAACACCAGTAGCCTGCTGCTGGGCTTTTTATCCCTTAGCCCGTGGCCAGTTGACACGCATTAGGCTGCTCCTAGTAGCCACCTAAATCCAATAAGTCTTTTAGGGCATTGCCCTACTCACGGCACCCATGCCCATCGTGTTTAGGCTATGGTTTTTTTGAAGTCAATGATAATTTTTGGCATTCTAAATAATTTTAACCCGCATGTTATAATTATTTTGCTTCTACGAACAACCCTGAATGGTCTTAATCTATTGAATTAATTAAAGTGACTAGCAGTCCACTAATCTGATAATTAATCCAAAATTATTGGCATGAAGCTCACTTTTTGGCAATTAACGATTCAATAAATTATTTCGTCTCGTTGAACCATTGACTACCTTTCGTAGTCCTAAAGCACTCATACTTGGGTTCCTGAAGCAATCCATAAATCCACTACACTTTATTGTATATTGTATTATGTGTTCTTGCTGGTACCCCTATATATGCAGTAAACGTTCATATCTCAGTTGAACCTGTAGTTTTGACTTTAGTGCCTTTGAAACTCGAAGTTTTCATTCAAAACTTACCACATGAAACCTGTAGCATTCATGCATAAATTAAACCAATACATGTCTATAGAACCCGAATGTTCTACGATGTATGTCTATGGCTTTCCATATGACTAACCACTTTTTGTTGTACCCTCTGTTTAAGGATATGTCGAACTTGAACAAGCTCGATTTCACCGCTCTGGAAGTCTCCGGAAGAAACTACCTTAAGTGGGTTCAAGACGTGAAACTCCATCTTACTGCAAAGAGTCTTAGAGCTACCATCAAGGAACCAACCAACGATGCACCTGTCGACGAAGCTCAGAAAGCTACTGCTATGATCTTCATTCGAAGGCACATCCATGATGCATTGCAAACCGAGTACCTCGTAGAGGAGGATCCTCGTACCCTCTGGCTTGCCCTAGCGGATCGCTTTGAACACCAAAAAAACATATTTTTGCTTGAAACAAGACATAACTGGCAGCATATACACTTCCAAGACTTTAAGTCCGTGAATGAATACAACTCTGAAGTTGGTAGAATCCGATCACTACTTAAGTTCTATAATGAGGACTGAACCGAACATGATCCCCTAGAGAAGACCTATTCGACCTTCAATGCCACTAATATTGTCCTGCAACAAACAATATAGGGCATATAAGTTCACCAAATTTTTGGATTTGATATCTATTCTACTTCTCGCTGAAAAGCAGAACTAGCTTTTGATGAAAAATCATCAAGCTCGACTTCTTGGCTCGCACACCGCGCCTGAAGCTCACGCAACAGCTTCCAGCAGCCACAACCGATCGAGATTCTATCGTGACCGTGGGAAAAGGTGGCAAGCCCTACCATGGGCCCAAGGTTCACCGAACAGAGGCACATCCAAGGGAGGAAACTTGACCCAGAAACACCAACCTCTTACCGTGGAGGCCCCAAACTTCAAGAATAAAGGAAACGCTACCGTTCAATCAGATTTCACTAAACTGGATATGTGATACCGCTGTGGATCAAGGGATCATTGGTCGTGTGTATGCCGAGCTACCCCTGAGATCATTGCCTAAGTTTACTTTTCAAAAGCTCGTCCAAAGAATCAATATGCCTAAATTATTTGAGTTGAATGGCTTGTAGTCTTATTTGTAAGTTATGTCTAACTCAAGGGGAGTATCCTGAAGCATACTCACTTGATCTTAATGTACTCTTTTTTCTACAATTATGAGCATTTTTCCTACTGGGTTTTTGCTACCTAGCGAGATTTGAACGAGGCACCCATCTTGGGATGATCATACTTCGTTGAGTTTACTACTTTCGTCCTGTTTGATGTTTGTTTTAGACATTATGCATACTTCTCACTTTTCTCCTTTGTCTATGGGTTTTGCCATAGCGAGGTTCTGTGAGTTTTACTACCAATGCATACTTACGGTTCTTGTATTTGAGACTCGCATTCACCCGTTATGCCGATGACTTCATCAATTGTTCTACCTCATCTGTTGAAAACCTGATGCGATGTTTTATTTGAGTATGTACACACTCAAGGGGGAGTGTTGCAGTCCTATCAGATCAAGAATGTGATTATGTAAATCCTAGTGTATCTAGGAGTATCTTGAATATTCCTATTAGCAGCTGATTACCTATTAAGAGATGTAATCCTAAAAGGGTATGGATTCTTCCTATCCTACTACTATAAATAAAGGCATAAGGGGGTGATACAACACGCACACCTTATAATTAAATCTCTCTCTTTCTCTCTTGTTTCTGCCGGCCCCTTCTCTCTCTATGTCCTTATATGGTTCAATCAAATTAGCTTACAAAAAAAATTGTATTTATATTCAAGGGTATTCTTTAATTTGTATCAGGTCTCTCGAAAAAAAAGTATGTGATGTAAAATTGGGGCAACCCCTCCTTTACCCAACCTATGGAAATCACTTGAAGGATGAGGGGAGAAACCATTAAAATGAATAGTTTTGGAAGGAAAGGCATTAAGATCTTTTTCATGTTGATAAATCAATTTTAATTTTGATTTTTTTTATTAGCACCCACATAATATTGGATAGATGCCACATTAAAATTTAATATTAGATGACTTATGCATCCTACTATGCAATGACAATTTCGACCTTATTAGGTTAAAAAAAACAAATTTCTAAATACACCTTAAATCACTTTTAACATATTATTTATCTTCTTCAACTCTCAAAACCCCTATCACCCTTCATTGTAGAACAAAACTCTAACCAATGAAACTACAAACCTGTTGATTGAAAAAAAAAAATTGACAAATGGAACATGAAATCGATGTTTTGAAAGTTTCACGTGAGGTAAGGCCTTATATTTTCATTGTTTTATGATTTCATATAGTTTTTCTTCTGTTTATGATATTTGATTAATGATTATACCATGTTGGAAAAATATCCATCTCAAGAAAATGGAGCTTGAGGCAAGGAGTTTGTAGCCAACTGTGAAGACAGCCTTTCTTGCCAAGCTAAGAGAATACAAAACTGATTTGAACAATTTGAAGAGCCAAGTGACGAGAATCACATCACCTGTTGTAAATTTTGCAGCCCAGGATGAGTTCTTGGAGCCCGGAATGGCAGACTCCTTGAGGTGGTAACCCATCAACACCTCGTTTAGGAATTGAACTAAATCCCTTAAGTCCAAAGTGGACTTGTCCTTCACGTGTGCTTGGGAGAAAC